CTCTTTAAGTGGATAAGATTTGTCTTTTTATCCTTATCTGTTGATCCAAGCCCATATCCTTGTCCAAATTTGCCCATATTAATTAATCAAATTAATTTAATTCATTATGGGCCTTAGGCCCATTAAGCAAACAGGCTCACGTCCCCTTTTGATTGCTGACTAACTTGGCTCTCGTTGTATGGCGTGAGACCCTAACATTGATCTTCACAAAAGCCATATGGATTCAACCTATCTTTTGTGACAAAGCCTTCTGAATTCACTATTAAACATAGTGAACCCCTGAGTCCATCAATATGGACTCTTAATCGGCCCAATATTTACACTAAATGGTGATTGAGTCCAGCCACCTAATGAAGGCCCAAGGACTATGGCCTTAAGTAAGATTACCCCATCAGGTATAATAGCCCTAAATGGTATTACACTTAACTTCTCAGCCCTTAATGATCAAACACTACCCAGGAATTAAAACATTTTGCAAACTTTTTTCATAAAACATAATATATATTCATATAAATATATTTTGCAAAACAAATTTCAAACACGGTTGAAATTGACTGTCGATAATTTTGGTTTTCATTAGAGAGAGTGCAATCCCCGATCATTCACTTTGTCCGACAAAGGGGCTGATTTTATCACTATGATCACCCACTCGTGTGAATTCTCAGACTGCCCCAACATACCCAAGTTTTGACCCCCGCTAAGGATCTCGCTGATTGGTATATCAAAGACAGCCCAATCCAACACCTAGTGCAGTACCATAATTGAGTCTAGGGATTAGATGTAACTTTCCAGTTTTGCCCACCAGTCTCCAAGGTCCAGGGCATAATTGGAAAATGGTCCGGGTTCAGTGTTTCAAACAAACACACACTACATGTGCTTCGGGTCTACCCTGGAAGTTGAGACAAGCTACCCCAACCGACTTGGCATCACATTAGTGTCAGCCTTGGCACGATAAACCTCCCCAAGTCTATGCTAGCTATGTAAATCTCATTTTCCAAATTTCAAATTTGAAATCAACAATGAGAGGTTTTGTTTTGATGCCATAGGGAATCATTGATATAATCATTGGAGGGATTGAACTATTGATAAAGTTTTTCAAAATAGAATCGTTCATCCTAGATAGAAAGAGAGATAGAGGCAAGTAGTGGTTGATAGTTGCAACAACAGTACTTTCTCTCCGGTGAAGCAACAACAAAAGTTGAAGAACAAGAAACTTGGGAGATAGGGTAGAGAAAAATGATTCAAGAGGCGGGTTCAGAAAATTCAATTTTTTTTGTATGCAATCTGTTAAGTTGTAATTATTAATGGGAGAGTAATGTGACCTTTTGTTATTTGTGGTTGTAGAAACTTTTCTACACCATGGGTGCGAAGGATGTGCATTTATAGTAGCGGCCCCCTCCCTTTCCTCTCTTTCTCTTTCTCATTCTTCTTCTTTTACATTTTATCCTCGTATTTCCTTCTCCATCCTTCCATTTTCTGTAAGACTGATGCAACCTATATATCAATTCACTCCCTCCCTTATTTGGCTGCATTTGAATATATCTTAAAGAGTGTTGTGGAGAACAAATTTTCAACAACACCTCCATTTAGAGGTGTAAAACGGGTTGTGCAGTGTCAACCTGCGGGCTGTGCCACCCTTCCCTAAGATAACTTGGGGAGTCGGCCCAACACGGCTCACGACCCAAGCTCGTGTGGGCTCATGCCGTGTCGCGGGCCTGGGCTGGGTGGGCTATAAGCCGTGCTAGGCTGGGCCATGGGTCGAGTCTTAGGTGTGGGCCGAACTAGGCCATATTGGTTTTTTACCTTTTTTTGTTTTTTTTTTGACATTTTTGATGTTTTTATTTCGTTGCTAAGTTAAAGTGTAAAACTACAATATTTAACTTTCCTTTGGGCTTTGGGAACCATTTGAAAAAATAAGAAATGAAAAATCTAACAAATAAATGAAAAAAAATACTTAGCCAAATAATAATAGAATAACAAATTGGAAGAAAAATATGAATTTTATTTCATTTAAATTTGAATGATACAAATTACAAAGCATACAATGGTTGGATACTTGGATGAATGAAATGTGAAAATTGGAGAATGGAATAAATTAATAAAATATAAAAAATACAGTATAGTTATAAATTGAAAATACAAAATTACATTGTTAAAAAAATAGCAAATAAATTAAATAACATTACAACAAAATTTACAATAATTTGAAAAAATGCTATACAACTATTGTGTGAGTATACAAAAAATATTGACTTCATCATTTTCTAATTTTCTCCTATTGTTCATGACTTTCATCATCTACTTCAAGTGAAATATCGGGTGTAGTGTCACGCCCTCCTTTATCTTGTAATTTGTCTTCAATATCCAACCAATCTTTAAAGCAGATGCACATTCATACAACTTCTCTTGTCGTCCAACACCTTAGTACTTGCACTAAAACAAGACTCCGATGGAACAGTAGACACCATAGGGTTAACAGATCATGTGCCATGGCGGTGAAAAGTAGATAATTTTTTGAATGTTCACTCCATCAGGCTAAAATATCAAAATTATTTATTCCCTCACCTAAAGTAGAAAAATGTGCTTGTAAATAAAAATTATGTTCAATAAATAAACTTGTTGTTGAGTTAGTAGATTTCTGCCTTCTACTTATTAAATATAGAAGCTTCTATTCTACTATTGGCTCAAGTTCAGAAGTGGAAGATGCATCTGTACAATTTGTAGAATTGTTTCCTATTACTTCAAATTCATATAAACTATACATTTCAAATAATAAACTATTAATTTCTTTTTTAATTTCCAATTTCAATATTCATATTTTCACAATATGTTTCAAGTAAAATATCTAAACCATCTTTCCTAATCCTATGATCTAATAATGTAGTTAAGTAATAAATAGGAGAAATGTTCTCCCAATATTTTTTAAATTTATTTTCCATTATTTCAACCATGGTTCAAAGTATCGATACGCCTCTACGTATCGATAGAGGCATATCGGTACTTTGAACCATGCAGAAATATGTTTTTTTTTTTTATTTTTTTTAAATTTGATTTTTGGGTAGTTTAATACCCATATTTATTATTAAAAAATAATGGGGTCCCAAAACACCTGTAAACAAGCGTATCAAGACCCAAAAGGTATTGGGCATATCGTATCGATTTTTTGAACCTTGATTTCAACAATACTTTTAAATTGTGGATTATTCCTATATTTTGCAAAAAAATCACTAATCACCATTAATTGATAAGGTAAATTACAACTATTTGAATAGTAAATACCTGATAATTCATTAGTTGCATCATAAAAATGTTTCAAAAAATATCTTATACAAATTGCCATTTTCTAATATTCCTCAAATATAATATCATTAGGCATTTTTGTATTATAAAAATCACTAAGAATTTGTTTGTGAGAAATATAACTTTCTAACATATAGCATAGGTAGAATTCCATCTATGTTTAATGTTTAATATAAAATGTTTTTATTTTAAACCATAATTTTGACATAAATATTTAAGTTCTTGTTTTCTTGCTCCAAAACTTTTAATATATATAATACAACTTTTAATTTTAGAAATATGAGTAGAAATAATATTTAAAGCATCTTGAATACATAAGTTTAAGATGTGACATGCACATCTAACATGAAATAATTTACCATTTAATCATGGTTTTAATTGAGATTCTAAAGTATTTATTGTTGAATCATTATTATTAGCATTACCAAAATTAATGGAAAATCATTTATTCTCAATTCTACAAGCATGCAAAGTATTTAAAATGCTTGTAGCAATAGTTGGGCCGATATGTAGCCATTCAAGTCTAATTAAACTTAAAATTCTTTTACTTAAAAGCCAATTTTCATCAATAAAATGACTAGTAACACAAATATAACTTATGTTAAATTTAGAAGTCCAAACATCAGAAGTAATTGCAACTTTAGAATTAAGATTTGATAACATAAATTAAATTTTGTTTATATGAATAAATTTTTTTTAAAGCATATGATCTAATAGTATTCCTATAAACTTTTAAATTGTGGATTTACATAATTACGTGACCATTTTTCAAGTTTAGTATATTCAGTTAACAAAAATGGTTGTTTAGCATGTACAATGTATATTCTTGCCTCATTTTTTCTTGAGAATATTTAAATGTACTAACCCCCCCCCCACAATTTGTGTTTGTGTTGTTTCTCTCCCTTCTTCAATGTCCTTGCTATAATAGCTAAAGTCTTCCCTACATTTTTGGCAAACAACTCTTTTTCTCTTCCCTTCAACCTCTTCTACTTTAAATATTTTCCAAACCGGGCTAATAAACTTAAATGCCCTCTTTTTCTTTCCCCTAGTATCAGTACTAGGGGTGGAAGTTTCATCAATATCAATAGAATCCATATTGGTGCTAACACTATTATGATGCAACTGAATGTCATCCACATTGAACATGTTGGGGAATTGGTTTTGGGGGGCATTTGTGTCATTTTTCTCTCCATAACCAAAATACATAAACACCCCCTATATAGTTGTTTATAGCTATTCGGGGGCATTTTTGTAAAAAAAACCCAAAAAACTAAAACTAGTCGTTGGGGGGAGGGGGTCCCCAATGGCTAGTTCTTGAGCGCCGCAGGTTGGGCTGTGCCAGTCCATGGACTTCGAACCCCAAGCCTAACACGACCTGAACCATCGTGCCGGGCCTAGTTCTCAATATATGCACTATGATTCAGTTTTTCTAGTGATTGGCAGAGAATGCATTTGTCTTGATAATGATAACAAACAGATTCCAAGGCATGAATTAAAATAAAATACATTCTAGCATTTGCACTCGGGGCTTATTAATTAAAACTTAAAAGCTGAGGAGATGTTAATGGCAATTAAAGTCGGTCCCACCGACCGGATGAATGGTCTAACCACGTGTAGGGTTGGAATTAGGTAAGACCACAGGAGGAAAAGGTTAAACCACAACAAAATAGCAGAGATATGTAGTGATCGATACTTTCAAACCACACTATGTCAGTGTCTCGTTCTAAACCCGGAACATCGTGGACCGTCGATCGTCTCTTATCCGGACTTCTTCCCATCTATCAAAACCTTGCTATGCAGTACATTAACTGGATTGAAAGAGTCGCAGAGATGAATTGAAATAAAGCGGTGAGAAGATCCTCGTCCGACTCCCAACAAGATAGATAGATAGAGAGAGAGAGAGCCTTAAGTCCTCTCTTTAACCAGGTAAGCTTTCTCTTGTATCTATTATATATTTTACAATTTCCTTCTTTCTCTTGCTTTTTGATTCCCGTGGGAACTTTTGATTTATATTGCAAAACCCTAGAAATAAAGGCTAACCAACGAAAGAAAAAAATGAAAAATGAATAGATTGTTTAAGGAGTTCCGTAGTTTCAGTTTTATATTCCTCGTGTGTTTTTTTATCCCTCTCTAATCTGAACTAGCGGAGCTTATCGATTTTATGTATAATTTCTTTTTCTCTCAACCCAACTCGTGTTTATTTTTGGAATTATTAACCGTTTACTGGTGATTGCTTGAGGATTGGGTCTGTAGGTCCTGAGATTGTTTTTTCTGGTTCTGGTGATTTTAGGGTTTGAAGCGATAACCGAAGAATAATAATGGAAACTGGGGTTGCAATCGCCAATAGATCTCAGCTTGCAGAAACAAAGGCAGTGGAAGATGGGGTTTCTCAGCCGAGAGTAGGAGAGAGGGCTGGTCGCGGGTACCATCAACCCAAGGATTCTGAAGGGGATGATTTTTTTGTGGAAGCGATGGATGAGCATCTTGATGACGCCCATGCCGTATATGAGACACCAAAGGCTGGTTTGGAGCAAGTTGTTGTTAATGGGGATCGGAGTGTAGTGAGGCTTCGAATTTTTGATCGTTTTGAAGCTAATGAAATCTCTAATGGAGGCCATGAGGCTGACAAGTTTGAAGAGGCGATCGACCTTCCTAGTGAAGCTCGGACTCGGACCCCCAAAGAGGAAGAACTGGTTGTTACTGAAACGATAGAAGATTTGGTTGCCCCGGAGCTTCTTGATGATGCTAAGCTTTCTGCTGATGTGGTAGATAACCGGATGGAATTTATATCAGAAGAATCTGTTAGGTTGGAGGATGCTGGCATGGCTAATAATGCAGAAGCAGATGTGGATAAGGTGTCTGTAGCTGATGCTGACGGTAATGACAGAGAAAGTAAATTACTGAGGAACCAAGAAGAGGTGGATGGGAGGACCTTAGCACCTCTCGTGAAGCCCCATACTGAAAATTTGGTTGAGTTGAGTTTGGAGGAAACTCCAGTTGTTCAGGAAAATGGTGATGTTGTCCATGTGGAGTCAGGTGCGGTTGAGTCTTCTCAACTAAATGATTCTAATGAGAGCAAGCAACCAGAGGACTCTTCGACTAACCACATAACTTTTCTGAAAGATAAGGTGGACTGTCCAGAACCGGTAATTCCAGCTCCTGTAGAACCTAGAAAGGATGAGGGGGATGGTCCAGAACCAGCAATTCCAGCTCCTGTAGAAGCTTGCAAGGATGAGGGTGATGGTCTAGAACCAGCAATTCCAGCTCCTGTAGAAGCTTGCAAGGATGAGGGGGGTGGTCCAGAACCAGCAATTCCAGCTCCTGTAGCTTGCAAGGATGAGGTGGATGGTCCAAAATTAGCAATTTCAGCTCCTGTAAAAGCTTGCAAGGATGGGGGGGATGGTCCAGAACCAGCAATTCCAGCTCCTGTAGCTTGCAAGGATGAGATGGGTGGTCCAAAACTAGCAATTCCAGCTCCTGTAGAAGCTT